TCTGGACGACAAGTATCTGTATCTGTCTAATTGGTTGCATGGCGACGTTAGACAATATGACATTTCTGATACTAGAAATCCGAAATTAACGGGTCAAGTCTTCTTAGGAGGCTCAATACTGAGCGATTCGCAGGTACGTGTGATGCAAGACGAAGAAATGAGCAGTCAACCCGACCCCGTCTACGTGAAGGAACGTAGATTGTATGGGGCCCCGCAAATGTTGCAACTAAGTTTGGACGGACGTCGTTTATACGTAACTACGTCGATCTTTAAACCATGGGACAAACAGTTTTATCCCGAGCTCCTCAAGTAAGTACATTTTTCTTCTTTTTCTTTCTGTAAAACACAGAACAACGTTTATAATCTGTATTCTTGTATACGTTGTAATAATGTTGGGCGCGTTATTTAGATATGGCTCAACGATGGTAAAACTTGATATCGACATAAAGAAGGGCGGAATGAAGCTCGACCGTCAATTTCTCGTTGATTTCGGCGCTGATAAAAGCGATATTTTACTGGCACACGAGATGAGGTAAGAGACATCCCGTAACTTTATATGTTGCCTCTATAAAATTAAGTCTCATTTATAATTCTTTTAATTTTCTAGAAAAATGAAAATGAATTAAAAGAAATTAATCTCTGTCGAAATTTATTTTGTCAAAGATGAGAACTCGTAATCTTTTCAGCTTTTTTTTTTACTTTTTATTTCGATTCTAATTTCGACGATTGAACATGTTTGATTACGTAAATCAAATTGCTGTCAATTTCTTTTAAAATTACAAAATTTCTTGTTTTGAAATTTCTTTTAATTTCAATTAATTTCTCCCTTAAATAGAAAAGATGTTATTCGTTATTGTTATCTTCTGTAACAATTTTAACATGTTAATCTTTACGTAGATATCCTGGTGGAGATTGCACCTCCGATATATGGCTGGCAGAGAAACCCTAACTTTAATGATTGGACTGGACGTAGAGTCGAAGGCATTCCAACATCTGTGAAAGTAATAATAATGCAGTAGCTTATTTTATAGTATATCATAGTTTTGCACGATTTTTCTCCGATGAAATCTCTCGAATCTTTATCATCTAGAAAATTATTCAGAAATGTTCTTTCGATAAGGATAAGAAATATGGGTGACAGAGGTAAATTAATAAAGAGTACTCACAAAATATTTTCGTTTGTTTCCATGGTATGGTGCTTATTAATTCCAGCATATTGCATCAAGTAATATAGTAGAGATTTTACATTGTATGAAATTAATTGTGTGTGTGTGTGTGCGCGCGCGCGCGCGCGTGCGTGCGTGTGCGTGTGTGTGTGTTACATGGTTTAGGTAATTAGTTCTTTTCTCCGAGTTTACACAAATAAAATCCGTCTATGCCAAAATTATAATTTGTTCATTGTGTAAAATTTGTCGAAATGTTCTATGTTAGAAATAATTCAAAGGTGTATAGCTATGTATAAAATTTCATTGCTCTTCCACATAAAGGATCGCGTTGACCGATTTTATTTTTGTTTCCGTAACAAAATTTCATATCATCTATAATACAATACCCAATGACTAACATAAAATTAAATTTGCACAATTATCTTATAGAATTCCAAAATTCGTGATAAATGTTTGAGAAGAAACGAGTTCTCGTCATTTTACTTCTGCAATATGTGAGAAAATACTTATTACGCGACAGTATTACTTAAATATTAAAAAATGATTGAGCGAAATATGCGACGCCAGAGAATAGCGACGACATATCGAGTGTCAATGTTGGTTACGAAGCTGATGAATTTCTTCTTTCGCCCGGATTGTCCGATGTTAACGCTATAGAAAACTCAAACCGAGAACTAAAAAATCGATGCGGCAAACTTTAAAAGCTACAAGTGTACTCACTACAGAAATAATTTTGTTAATTTTGTCCCGTTAATCGACAATAAGTTGCGAGATTAACCACGAAATCATTAATGTTTTTAAATACGCGCGCACGCGCGTCTAAATGTGTATGTACGCGCCGAGTTTATTTAATTGCATATAACCCAATAATATCAGATTTGTTTTAATCTTTGTTAAACTGAGTCTTTTCATTTTTTTTCATCTCGGTTAAAACATAATGTTGCAATGGGGTATGTGTTGTCTACATAATCTCGGATTCTCTAAATTAATCCTCAATTGTGCTCGCGCGTATACACCGTACGTATATCTAGAGTTACATCGGTGCAAATATCGATTCAGATATCGATTAAAACGTCAGGTATATATTTTCTCTTCCTGACACGATGGCATTACACGACGGCAAGTTCGTGCGATTCGTATTAGCCATCATACGGTAAATGTTGACAGCGCGACTGTTTATCGCAATTACCGTTATCAAGACTTTCATCATCTTCATTATCTTCATCATCGTCATCGTCATCGGACTTGCATCAATATCGTCAGCCGAACTTCTCGCGACTACACTGTTAGCGTAAGAATACATGGCCGATTCTACATTTCTCCCAAAAATTCGTGGCTCTTTCAAAAGAATACTACTTATCCGCATTCGGTCGAGGTTGTACATGCTCATAATTCTTGTTTCCTCTAAAAGAAAAAGAGAAGGAGGAGGAGGAGGAGGAGGACGAGGAGGAGGACGAGGAGGAGAAGGAGGGGGGAGAAGGGAAAAGACATTCCTTATTGCCAAGTGACAGTAATGGATCGCAGCCTCGTTTTTGAGATAACTATAGAATCGGCATTCGGCACAGTGGGTTTTCAATTGTCGCGTCGGAAAGATCGATCCACGATCGAGCTATGAAACCGACATGTTTACCGGTTATTGCCGGATACTTCACCAGCTGGTTTCGAGCGGAGTGTTTTGCCTCCTACGGCGACGTAGGACGACGTAGGTACGACGGTACGAATTTGAGTACCGTGTGAGACGAGTGTCGAGCCATCGGGGCGCGCAAACGCCAGCCGTCGTCCGTTCAGACCCACGGTGTCCAGCCCTCGTACAACAAGGCCAGATTATCGTTGCTCTGTGCTTCACGTATCACGTATTCCACCTGTTCGGCCGTGGTATACTTGCGTGATGGTTGCGGATCGCGACCCTCCAACTTCATACGCACGCGACGCCACACGTTCAGCGCGTAGGCGTTCCGCTCTTGCACGGCTACAATAAGAAAAGAAAGAGAATTATTTTATGAGCGAAGTATCTTCGAAAGTATCAGTCGATAGAAAGAACACAAGATAGAACCTACCCTTGCCCGTGGTCGGATCTCTGGCCAACACTGTCCCCTTCCTCAGGCATACACTGTTCTGTCGCACCAACTTGCCCTTCTTCCTCTTCTTTCTCTTCCTCGGCAGATTGCCTGCTGCAGGCTTCTCCGCGCTTTTCGTCGAATTCAACTTGCGCTCACTCGCAAACTCCAGTAATCGATTGTACAGACTGGGCACTTTGATCGCTATCGCCTCCAATTCTTCCTTCATCGCCACACCGCGAGCAGAGTCGAAATTCTCGGCTTCCAGTTCTTTCACTGCCGCCGAAATATTCTCCGTGAAAGACCGATAGGCAAACAGAAAATCCTGCAGACCGTCGATATTCTCCTGCTTGGCCATTGTCTTTAGCAACGCTCTAACGTCCGACATTAATCGGTGATGCTCGGCGAGTACGCTCTGCAGATTCATCACTCGCTCCCTCAAATAGTCTTCGGCCGTGAAGAGAGCTTCTTGTTTCTCCTGCAGTTTCTTCTGAGTGTCGATTATCGCCTCGGATACCATTTTCTCGGCCTGCTTCAACCACGTGGCATCCACGTTGTTCTCCAACTGCAGCAGCTGTACGAGGCTCTCCTCTGTCATGGTAACGGTAATGTTCAGGTTGACCGTCAATACACAGCTCTCCTCCCAGTGCTTGATCAATTTGACTAGGTTGGTATCGTGCGTCACACTCTCCGACGTCCTGGTTCTCAGAGCCTCGTAGTGCAGTATGGAATTGCACGTGTTGATTACCATCGCGGCTAAATTGTGCTGTCTAGTCAATTTATCGCATGACGATAATACCGCGTTGTCGAATGCGGACATGACTTCGCCCAGTGCTGGATTGGCGCCGGCAGCCCATTTGAGACGTTGTACAGCACTCGAAATGAGATTCTGTTGTTGCTCGCGCGCTTCGCACACTCGCGACTGCAAGTTTGACAATTTCGCTGCCTTTTTTCGTAACTCGAGCATGAAGGTAGAGCGATCTAAAAGAAACAAGGTGATTATTTCCGACTTGGTTAAAACAGACGACAGTTTAATTTTAATTCGTTAAACCTCTCTCGCGAGAGGTAAAAATAATCGTAGCGGTAAAATGAGCGATATATATCGATCAATTAAAGGACTCACTCAAACGATTCATAGGATGCATCGGATTCATTGGATTCATTGGATTGATATTGGGTCTCATCATTAGGACATCTTCGTGCAACCAATGATAAGCTGTCTGCTGAAGTTGAAGTCTCTGAAGACTGATCCTGACTACCTTGGCGCTCTGTTGCGCCAATCTAGCAATCTGTTTCCGTCGCCAAGTGCTTTCCAAAGTGCTATTCAACGCACTCCCTTGCGTAAAGACCGAGCCCGAGAACAATCCCCTCTTCAAGCACAGATCTACCATCTTCCGACACAGCTCCTCTAGCGAGACCTTGCTTTCTGCTCCAATATCTCTCTGTTCGATCTCGGTAGTTACATTCAGGCCCATTCGCTGCAACAGGAAACACAAGGCGATCGCCAATGTCTGCGTCGTCACCCCGAGCAATTGCCTTGAGACGTAATCGGCAGTGAATAATCGGACGGGCTTGTTAAGCCGTTCATCGTCGTATACGTTTACCAATCCGCCCTTGAATGCAGTAGCAATGTCCCTGCACATCATAAAGAACTCTTGCATAGTGTGCAATCTCTTGATTAGAAATATGTCTTCGAAGACTTGTCGGATCGCCTTATTGAAAATGGGCACCGACATCTCCTTGGCCTCGCGTATCTGATCAATCTTCTTCCAATTCATCGGAATGTCCAAAGTGCTCAGGATAGCCACTAAGGCATTACCTTCCATTTGCACTTTTTCAAACAAACCGTTGAAACCCATTAGTAACATTTGACCTGGCGTTAGACTTTCCTCCTGATTCAAATCCTGAACTTCCGCCTGTCGCGACAGTAACGCCTCGAATCGTAATCTTATGTTATTCACTATATTTTGTACTACCGCGTGGGGACTCTCCATCTCCATCACAGTGAATCGGAGATGCATCTCAAGCTGCGCCAGAATATCACCGAGCGGTATTCCGGTCAGTATTATAATCTCATCGAGTTCGCTTATCATTCGCATGACACTTGGCTCCTCCGTGACGATAGTTTTCATCGCTTCCGGCAATATAATAGTTTGGAAGTTGTAATTGAGATCCTGTAGACCCTTGTAAATACAATCGGCGCTTCTCAGGCACTTGAATATCAGCGCAATCTTGGGATCGGTGTTGTTCATCTTGTGGCTCTCTGGTATCAGCGTAATAAACTCGACAATTAACGATGACAACAGACGCATGTCGTCCAGGAACCAATCCCCCTCGCGGAATGTAAGATCCACTAAGCAATCTCCGGCGCACTTGGCAGCACCCTCCATCATCAAATATCGCATGTTCAAAGAACAGAGCGCGGTGATATTGACACATTCGAACGCTTTCTCCGCACCCTTTTCCCGCCGCAAAAATCCGGTAATTTGTGCTCTCGACTCAGCATACGCTTTCTCAATTCTATTGCCGGCTTCCGGCAAGCCTTGGGATACTGTCCTCTCATAAGCTTTCTTGTATCTCTCACTAGACTCATTCAAAATCGCTTCCATCTGATACGAAAAGGTTATTATTTGCTGAACCTGCGGATTGTTCGAATTGATTGGATTTAGACTCGCTTCGAACCGCGCCATGATTTCGTGACACGCCTCGACGGTACTCGTGGCTAATAGCTCGCTCGCCCAAGTGTGATAGAGCACGACACGGTGTTGCGACAGAATGCTTAGAGGGTACAGGTTGCAGATGGCGGAATATTGGCTCAACAGCTCTAAACATTTGCTTATGGAGAAGGCCTGGTCGGTAGCCAGTTGCATCAGCTCGTTTTCCGACTGTTCGCATTGCACTATCATCTGACTTTGTCCGGCGTTTTGCAGAAATTCCTTCACAAGATCGAACACCACGTGATCTTGTTGATTGGTCAAGTTTCCCAATTCCGCCAGCCACTGTCCTAGTTGGGATCCTCGTACTGCGGTCAGTGCAATCTAAAAAAAATAACGAACCATCAAAATATCGAAGAAACATTATATAATTGAGATCAATCTGATTTGCGGGAACGCTTTGGTGTACAATCGAGATTGCGATTGTGCTCGAGAGCGCCAACTCACATTATGCATATTTATTTGTTTCTCGCACTCCTCTATCTTCTCCTTCAAGCCTGTCTTTGCCTTCTCGTGAGAATCTCGTGCTCGTTTAAACGAATTGTATCGCTTAACTAGCGAATATAACGCGTGATTCCGACCGATTGCCTGCGCCTCTTTCACTAGCGCGAGCTGCTGATGTCGGTCCTGCAGTAAATCCTGGCACTGACGCGACGCTTCGGTCGCCTCGATCCAGCTGTTCAAGTGATGGCACAGCAGCGGCAAGTTTTTAGCCAATTCATCTCTGATTTCATCCCATGAAAGTATTACAAGTTTTTACAAACGAGGATAAATGCAAATAACAATACAAAAGAGATACAAGTTGAAGTACGTAAAGAAGTTAGGTTGAGTCTTTAGGAAGAGAAATGTATGTTTTTTAAATGCATTTTAAATAATAGGAAAGTAATAGAAATATTGTTCTCTCACCGATTAGCTAGCCACTCGGCGCGCATCTCCGCCGTTCTTACTGCAAACATTGCACGCGTGAGCTCCTGCTCTAATTGTTTCCTTCCAACGCCAGTGCATCTCGCTCTGGCCTGGCAAGCACCGTAACTCGCTATGCTGGTGTCCGCGCCCGCCCGCCAATCTACTAAAGGATCGTAGACGAACGCCTCCAACAAGGTCAACAGCGTCTCGCGGCCTCTACG